GGCTTATTTTAATTAACATAGTGACCTCCAGTTCCATCCATGTTGTTGCAAATGACAGGATCTTATTCTTTTTATGGCTGAACAGTATTCCATTGTGTATATGTGCCATATTTTCTTTATTCATCTGTTTATGGACACGTAGGTTGCTTCCAAATCTTGGTTGTTGTGAGTAGTGCTACAGCAAATGTCAAAGCTATCTCTTCAATATACTGATGTCCTTTCTTTTGGGTATATACCTAGGAGTGAGGTAGTGTAACTTATTATCAAACCCTATCTATGTTTTCAACAGAGATTCATAGTCTCAGTTGTAATTTTTTCTAACTAAAAAGGATTTTGAACTGTCAGTTCCTCTTGTACTAACTTTTCTGAATAGATAATCCAGTATTTTTGCAAATAACTTCAGTTAAGTTGGTTGCTAGTCAACATGGCAACCTAAGCTTAATCTTAATTTTACCTTAAAGACTGAAAATTTAAGCATCATTTACTAGCAAACTGCTTTCAAGTATTGATAAGAATTATTTATTCATTCATTCATTCAATGGATGTTTATTTACTGCTTCTTCTCTGTCAGGTACTCTGCTGAACACTGGCAGTAAAAATAGGACTAAAATAGGCACCCCTTGCCTTCATGGTGTTTACAGCCTAGAGGGAGGACCAGCCAGTCACACGATGACTCACACTAGAATGTGTGCTCCATGAGAGAGAGGCCGTTCATCTTGTTTATGACTGCGTCCCCAGCACAGTAACTGCACATAGGAGGCACTCAATAATAGTTATTGTTTCAGTCGAGTTGGCAAGCTCTGGGCCCATGAGCCACGTCTGGCCCACCACCTATTTTTGGAAATAAAGTTTTGTTGGCACACAGCCACACTCATTCTGCTTTTATGCCACAGCAGCAGAAATGAGTAGTTGTGACAGAGACTATATGGCCCACAGAGCCTGAAGCATTTTGGCTATTAGGCCCTTTACAGAAATGGTTTGCCACCCTGGTTGGTCTAAGTGACTTGAAAGGAAGACTGTTACAATGAATGTATGAGGGAGTCATAACTATGGAACAAAAATGTCCCAAATTAAATGTCCATGGATTTGAGATAGGAAAAAAGAATAGACATTGAGCCCAGGTAGGGGATGGCACCTTTAACAGCCCTGTCTTTGGGAGGGCAGGACACAGATGGCACCTTGAGGAACTGTCTGGAGCACAGAGCAAGAGAAAGAATGATATGAGCGGCCTCAAAAGAGACCCAACCGTTGGTGACCCACTGGGCATTCATTTGGAAAAGAGCACTGTATGCAGTGTTGGGCACGTTGTTGAGGGGGTGGGGGGCACAGGAGGGGGCGTGGGTAGAGACCTGTTGGAAAGTTATTGACAGTAATCCAGTCAAGATATGAGGGTGCTTGGAATAGGAGCAGTTAGAGGGAAGTTTTGTTTCTTGTTTTAATGGAAAAGGTTCTAGAAATACCCGGTATGTAAACTCAACAGGCATGACTTCATCCTTATGGTATCCTATATGGCCATCCTTATGGCACTTCAGCCGTTAGGGATGGATATTGGCCTTTGTAGAAGTGACTTTGCTTCCTGCCAGTATTGCCCTGTTGATGGTTATTTTGCTGTGGCATAGTTGAGATCTACACCTCAAAGCCTGGGAAGGTCTGAGTAAGAGATGTCATTGTAGTGGAAGTGGTTCCCTCAGAAGACAGATGTGCTTGTTCAAAGCAATCTGGGCTGTACAAGTGCAGCTGATTGGTGACTTCAGCTAGAACTCAGATTGTAGCACTGTGCATTTATGGTTTTGTTTGCCCAGGAAACATATATTGTTTGCCTATATGTGGCAAGCATTTTGAATGGAAAACTAAAAAGATACTTGCCATGCCCTCAAGAAACTCACCTTCAGAAATTAGACACTTAATTCAGGGATCAGATGGGTTTTTGATCAGACTGCTCTGCCACCTGATTTGTATCACATTTAAGCATAAAAATTAAAAATTTTAAAAATATTTTTTCAATAGAAGTATACAGAAAATAATGTAACTATATTCACAATAGAGATTTAACATAATAGCATGCCAAATTTGCTTCAGGACTCTCTGTTTTAGAAATGTTATAGGTATCACCCTCCAACTCCATTCTGGTCCCCATCCCACCCCCAGAGGGAACCACAATTCAAAACTCATAGTGTTGTGTCACTTTCATCTAGAGTGTGACATTAAAGTGCATTTCTTAATTATTAATGAGGTTGATTATTTTTTCATATGTTAATGGCTTATGAGTTTTCTCTTTTTTAAATTGCCTGTTCCTATCCTTTTCCCATTTCTGATTGAGTTGTTGGCCTTTTTCTTACTGATTTTTAGGATTCTTTTTTTGAGATGGAGTCTCACTGTGTTGCCTAGGCTGGAGTACAGTGGCTCAATCTCGGCTCACTGCAACTTCCACCTCCCAGGTTCAGGCGATTCTCCTGCCTCAACCTCCTGAGTAGCTGAAATTACAGGCGTGCACCACCACTCCCAGCTAATTTTTGTATAAGTAGAGTCGAGGGTTCACCATGTTGGCCACGCTGGTCTTGAACTCCTGACCTCAGGTGATCCACCCGCCTCAGCCTCCCAGAGTGCTGGGATTACAGGCGAGAGCCCCTGCGCCTGGCCAGGAATTCTTTAATCTGATAACCATACATTATCTGTTGTATCTTCTTCCTGCTGTGGCTTTTTTTTTTTTTAGCTTTCATTATATGATATCTTTTGTTATATAGATGTTTTTAATATTAGCATAGTCAAATTTATCACCTGTTTATGTCTTATATATTTCATGTCTTCTATAAGAAGATACAATGTCCAGGGTCATAAAGATGGTCTCCTGTGTTTCCTTAGTAAGCTTTAAGAAGTTTTGCTTTTCCTAATTAGCTCTCTACTTTATCTAGAATGTATTTTTGTATACGATATAAGGGATCTACTTTCATTTCATGTGGCTAGACAGTTGTCCAACAGCATTTATTAGCCACCAGCTTATAATGCTATCCTTCTTTCAAACCTGTCATGTAACTGAGTGTGAACCTGTCAAATTGGGGGCCGAGCAATCTTCAAGTCCTGGAAGTAGACCATTAACAGAGGGCAGATCATTTTACAGTGTGACTGTTGTGGAATGGAACCAATAATACTGTGTATTCAAATAGCAACTCACGTATGGGAAAGAATGCATCGGTTGTTAACCCCCTGCTTTCTGGGTGTGGGTTGCAGTGAGTGCTATCCTAGTCAAGAGACAGCCTGCCTTATGGCACAACCTGTCCCTGAGGGAACCCAAACTGGTGGTAAAATGAAATGTGACAATATTTGCTGGCAACAAGCCATAATCTCTGTGTGTTAACTTGGTCTTATTTTCTGTGTTAAATGAGGAATGGCTCATTTATCTCTTTAGTCAGTTATTATATTAGATAGTTTTTCGAGTATGTGTGAAACCAAATTGTCATAAACCAGGGTTATAGATCCAACCCCTAATATTTGGCAGTGAAAAGAACCTAGTCATTTTATAGCAGTTTCAACATTTAAAGTTTTCTGTTGCCTGTCTTCATTTTTCCTTTGTAATTTTCACCTGGAAGTACATACCTACTTTGAAATCACCTAGAGCATAATTATAAAATCATTACATTGCTCTTAAATCAAGCAATAAAAATGTCTTTTAGGTTGATATTAGCTTTAGTATGGTCTTTCTAATGATAATGATAATTTTTTACACACTTCCTTTCTTTCCTTTACATCAAACTGTAAAAGAGAATTTATTTGGGAAATTCATGTTTTAACTGTATATAAGATTTTTCTTGTTAAAATAAATTTGAAGAGAACATAATTAAAAGGTTCTAAAAGAGAAGAAAATATTTTATTGCAATTTATTTGTATATTGTAGTATTTAGAGAAATTCACCAAGGATTTCTAAATCATATATGTGGTTTGTTGTATATTTAGGTTAAATGATTTTTTTTAACATTTCTTTTACTTTATTTTTGAGTGATACATACTTTGAATAAAGTCTGCCAAAAAGTTGATTGGAATATAAGTTTGACTGCGATGTTGGAAATACTCAAATAATTATTAAAGTCATAGGAAATAAAATGCAGATCCACACAGGGGATTCTTTAAAAGGACCCGAAGAGTTAAATACTGTAAGAAGATGACATGTAGTTATTCTAGGGATCTCCAAAGAAAAGACTCTAAAGAAATAGAAAACAAGGATAGAGGGAATCCTTAGAGATCCAAAAGATAGCACCTGTAGGGCTGAGATTCTTTTTCTTCTTTTTTCTTTTTTTTAGTGATGTCCTTGAGCTACAGATTTTTTTTTTTATGAATGTGTAGGAGACAGTGATAAACCAAATTGCAGATAAGGTCAGATAAAGTAGTATACATCTAATTAAACATTTCTAATCCTTAGTATTTTTGATAACATAAGATAGCATTGTCTCCTTGTCTTTTCTCTCTTTCCTTCTGTCACCACTCCCCCCACCCCAAATATTGGTTCTGTTATGATTCTGCAATGCAATTTACAACTTTTTCCTACTGAAAGCCATGTTTCGCCTCTATATAATACTGTAATCTAATTAGAGATCTTAAAGAGAACTATAAGCTTTATTCAAAACTCCACATGAACTTACTGTCATTGCCAGCATTTCTCAGTCTCTATATTTATAGGAGTTGCAAAGTCATGTATCTTTCAGAGCTGGCTTTACTACAGATGCTTTCAGAGATGCTGATGTGCTAATGTGCATTGTGAATATTCTCCAGGGGGAATAATAGTATGGTGTAGTGGTAAGAATTGATATAATTTTAAAAACATTAATGCTTTTTAAAATGGGATCTATTAAGAAGACAAATAGCTTTTTTCTTTAAGTCATTTTTTAGTGCTTGTCATTCAGATTTGAAGACTTGAAATAAAGAGCTTCCCCAAAGACTAGTTAACAGTTGATTCATTGACAGATGGGTAGAAAATCTAATTTTGAATTTTGTTTCATCTTTTTCAGATCTCAGTCATAGTGGATTGGCAGATCATTATGAAAATTCCCACTGGGGACAGCAGCCTACTTACAGAAACGAAGCCAACTGCGGCTGGGATAAAGTGATAATAGATAGGACTGACAAGGAGGCGTGGCCTTCCATCACAGGAACAGAGACTGAATCTGCCTCAGAATGTACTACAGACACTGACTCTGCCTCCAACTGTGGCTCAGAGAACAGTAGCATGGCTACAGGGAGTGCCCAGGGCAACTTCACTGGACATACCAAGAAGACAAATGGCAATAATGGCACCAATGGCGCACTCGTCCAAAGCCCTTCTAATCAGAGTGCCCTTGGAGCAGGGGGAGCGAACAGTAATGGAAGTGCGACCAGAGTGTGGGGTGTAGCCACAGGCTCCAGCTCTGGCCTGGCTCACTGCTCTGTCAGTGGTGGGGATGGAAAAATGGACACTATGATTGGAGATGGGAGAAGTCAGAATTGCTGGGGTGCTTCCAACTCCAATGCTGGCATTAATCTTAACCTTAATCCTAATGCCAACCCAGCTGCCTGGCCTGTACTTGGACATGAAGGAACCGTGGCGACAGGCAACCCTTCCAGTATTTGCAGTCCAGTCAGTGCCATAGGTCAAAATATGGGCAACCAGAACGGGAACCCAACAGGCACTTTAGGTGCTTGGGGAAACTTGCTGCCGCAAGAGAGCACAGAACCACAAACGTCCACTTCTCAGAATGTGTCTTTCAGCGCACAACCTCAGAACCTTAACACTGATGGACCAAATAACACTAACCCCATGAACTCTTCACCCAACCCTATCAATGCAATGCAGACAAATGGACTGCCAAACTGGGGCATGGCTGTTGGTATGGGGGCCATCATCCCGCCCCACCTGCAAAGCCTTCCTGGTGCTAACGGATCATCAGTTTCTCAAGTCAGTGGGGGCAGTGCTGAAGGAATAAGCAATTCTGTATGGGGACTGTCCCCAGGTAACCCTGCCACAGGAAATAGCAATTCTGGGTTCAGTCAGGGGAATGGAGACACTGTGAACTCAGCATTAAGTGCTAAACAAAACGGATCCAGCAGTGCTGTGCAAAAGGAAGGAAATGGAGGAAATGCTTGGGATTCAGGACCTCCTGCTGGTCCTGGAATACTCGCCTGGGGAAGGGGCAGTGGCAACAATGGCGTTGGTAATATCCATTCGGGAGCTTGGGGCCACCCCAGCCGAAGCACCTCTAACGGTGTGAATGGGGAATGGGGAAAGCCCCCAAACCAGCATTCCAATAGTGACATCAATGGGAAAGGATCAACAGGGTGGGAGAGTCCTAGTGTCACCAGCCAGAACCCTACCGTGCAGCCTGGTGGTGAACACATGAACTCCTGGGCCAAAGCGGCATCTTCTGGAACTACAGCAAGTGAAGGAAGTAGTGATGGTTCTGGCAACCACAATGAAGGAAGCACTGGGAGGGAAGGAACGGGAGAAGGTCGAAGGCGAGATAAAGGGATTATAGACCAAGGGCATATCCAGTTGCCAAGGAATGATCTTGACCCAAGAGTTCTATCTAATACTGGTTGGGGACAGACTCCTGTAAAGCAAAACACTGCCTGGGAATTTGAAGAATCCCCTAGGTCTGAAAGGAAAAATGACAATGGGACAGAGGCCTGGGGTTGTGCAGCTACTCAGCCTTCAAACTCAGGGGGGAAGAACGATGGGTCCATCATGAACAGTACAAATACCTCTTCAGTATCTGGGTGGGTCAATGCGCCACCTGCCGCTGTGCCAGCAAACACAGGTTGGGGAGACAGCAACAACAAAGCGCCAAGTGGTCCGGGGGTTTGGGGGGACTCGATAAGCTCTACTGCTGTTAGTACTGCTGCTGCTGCCAAGAGTGGCCATGCTTGGAGTGGGGCCGCAAATCAGGAGGACAAGTCACCCACCTGGGGTGAGCCTCCAAAGCCCAAATCCCAACACTGGGGAGATGGACAAAGATCAAATCCAGCCTGGAGTGCTGGAGGGGGAGATTGGGCAGATTCATCGTCTGTCCTTGGACACTTGGGGGATGGGAAAAAAAATGGATCTGGATGGGATGCTGACAGTAATAGGTCAGGGTCTGGTTGGAATGACACCACGAGATCTGGGAGCAGTGGCTGGGGCAACAGCACAAATACAAAGGCCAATCCAGGTACAAACTGGGGGGAGACTTTAAAACCTGGCCCCCAACAGAACTGGGCTAACAAACCCCAAGACAACAATGTGAGTAACTGGGGAGGAGCTGCTTCTGTGAAACAGACAGGAACAGGGTGGATCGGGGGGCCAGTACCAGTCAAACAGAAGGACAGCAGTGAGGCAACTGGCTGGGAAGAACCCTCTCCACCGTCCATTCGCCGCAAAATGGAAATTGATGATGGTACCTCAGCTTGGGGGGACCCAAGCAACTATAACAATAAAACTGTAAACATGTGGGATAGAAACAACCCGGTCATCCAGAGCAGTACCACGACCAATACCACCACCACCACCACTACCACGAGCAACACCACACACAGGGTCGAGACGCCGCCACCGCACCAGGCCAATACTCAGCTGAATCGATCACCATTGCTCGGTCCAGGTATGAAAGGTATTTCATGTTTCTTTACAAGTTAAAAAAAAAAGCTTATTCTCATTATATATTCATGAATACTCTGAGTAGTGTTTTTTTTAATAGCAGATAGCATTAAAATAATTTCAGTTCCCTATCACCCTGCAATATTGTTTCTAAAGATTATCCAGTGAGAGCAAAGCAGGATCCTCTGGTGGTTTTCTATTCAAGAAAAAAATATATTAAGCACACTCAGTAGAACATCAAGCGAATGTTTGGGTGGTGGCAGTGGTGGCCTGGGGTGGAGACGATGGATTTGAAGACAATAACAGTGCATGATTCCAAGATTTCGTAACCATTTGGATACAGGAGCAAAGAAGAAGATAGGATAGACACGGCTCAGAACTTGGGCAAGTGTGCAGATGACTGTGTCAGTTCACTGGCCATGCCCATGAGCACAGCAGGAGGCTCAGAGCCCGCTGTGTCCAGTGGGGACAATAAAAGGTCCCAGATATGAAAGACCAGTTCTCAGCCAGAGGGGCGAGGTCCAGAGCTGAGAGATTTTAAGGTGGCAAAGTCGCGAGCATGTTTCAGAGCTGTTAGAAAGGAACAAATGGAGATGAGAATGAGTGAAGAGGGAAGAGATCTCTGCATCCAGCAGGACAAGGGCACTTCACCCATCTTGCGAAGCAAGGAGCAGGAAAAAGCACTGCACGGGTGGCCCAGGCTGTCATGGCCAGAGGGCCAAGGCCACCTTCTGGGGTTCTTTTCTCTCTGGGAGCGTGGATAGCAGCCCAGAGTGGAGGAAGGCTGGCCAGGAGCAGCGGCATGAGTAGAGGGGGAGTGTGCATTAGCCCATGTAGAGGACAGGAACAGAGAACTGACTTGACCGGGGCCCCTGGAGAGTTGCTGGGCAATGTCAGGGCCCAGAGATCACCAGTGAATTTATTGGGACCTGCCACGTTCTAGGCTGTGCCCTAGTAGCTGGGTAAACTACAGGGAGCAAAACAGTCAAAACCCTGCCATGGTGGGGTCTAGATCTAGTGAGGGAGGCAACAGCACGTGAATTAAAGTATATACATAGTGTTGGGCGGTGATGGTGCAGGGGAGGAAACAGTAAGCCTGGAAGGTCTGCACGCTGGGGACCAGTGGAGTTGGGGAATCACCATCTTGTGTAGGGCAGCCTGGGCATTTGGGCACCTTTTTGGTTTTTGTCATAAGCATTCAACAGGAGACTGTCCTGCTTGCTACGTTAATTCAATTATGACTGCCCTACAGGACCTCCCCTGGCCCACCAGCTGGGCCCTCCAGCCTCCTCGTAGACTACTTGGTAGTTCACTTGTACCTCAGTGAGGTTGCCACATCAGAAGTCCTTTATGGATCCTCAAGACAGTTTTAGCCTCCACCTAACACATCAATGTCACTAAACCAGAGGTCAAAAGCCAGCGGTCCATGGGCTGCACCTAGTCCCACAAATGCGCGTTTTTGGCCCACATTTTCTCTGTGAATTGGCATTTTTTAATGCAGATGTTGTATATTAAATTACAGATTTCTGGCTTCATTTGGAAACCTGAAAAGTCTGACACATTGGATTCACATGGCAGCAGTCAGTCAGAGCCACTTGCCTTCATAAGGGCCTGTGCGTTCTCTCCATACGATGTCACATTGCCCCCCGACCCCTGATGATTCCCAGCACTGAGGCTTTTGATCAGTAGCCATTGAGCATCATCAAGCTTGTGCTGCTGTTCTTACACTGGGCCTGTTTACGTTAACTGACTAGTTCCTTGGAGTACTTGAATTTGTTATTCCAATTTTTTACTAATATATGACTAATATTTCTAGGCCCTTACATTTTATAAAGTACTTGGGAGGATAAGGAGAAGCAGGAAGAAGGAAAATGAAGGGATTTGAAAAATAAGATTAGGTCGGGCGTGGTGGCTCACACCTGTAATCCCAGTACTTCGGGAGGCCAAGGCGGGCAGATCATCTGAGGTCAAGAGTTTGAGACCAGCCTGGCCAACACGGTGAAACCCTGTCTCTACTAAAAATACAAAATTAGCCAGGCATGGTGGTGCATGTCTATAATCCCAGCTTCTCAGGAGGTGGAGGCAGGAGAATTGCTTGAACCCGGGAGGCAGAGGTTACAGTGGGCTGAGTTGGGGCCATTGCACTCCAACCTGGGCGACAGAGCGAAACTCTGTCTCAAAAAAGAAAAAAAAGATTCTTCCTAAGTAAGGAATAGTCTGGTGGGACAGGCCAGTAATATCAAATTTAATAGAGTTTAATTAGCGTTATAGTAAAGGTATGCAGAAAGTGATCTGAGAGCCCCCACCTGTAACGCCAGCTACTTGGGAGGCTGAGGTGGGAGGATAGCTTGAGCCCAGGAGTTCAAAGCCTGCCTGAGCGACATAATGAGACCCCATTTCTGTAAACAACAACAAAAAAGCTTCAAGAACAGAATTAATATGGTCATGCATCGCTTAACAATGGTGATACATTCTAAGAAATGTGTCATCAGACAATTTCAGCATTGTGTTAACATAAAGTATAGTTACATAAACCTGGGTCGCATAGCCTCCTACTCACCTAGGCTGTGTGGTACAGGCCTTGCTCCTGGGCTACAAACCTGCCCGGCATATTACTGTACTGAATACTGTCAGCAGTTGTAGCACGATGGTAAGTATTTACATAGCTAAACATGAAAAGGGAACATTAAAATATGGTATAAAAGATTAAAAATGGTGCACCTGTATAGGGCACTTACCATGAGTGGAGCTTGCAGGACTGGGAGTGGCTCTGGGCAAGTCAGTGAGTTAATGGTGAGTGGATGTGAAGGCCTGGGACACTACTGCACACTACTGTACACTGCTGGAGACTGCTGCACACTACTGTACACTACTGTATACCACTTCAGACTACTGTACACTACTATACACCACTGCAGACTACTGTACACTACTGCAAACTACTACAAACTACTATACACCACTACAAACTACTGTACACTGCTGGAGCTACTGCACATTACTGGAGACTACTGCAGACTACACTACTATACACCCCTATACATCACTGCAGACTACTGGAGACTACTGTACACCACTGCAAAGTACAGTTCACCACTGTGCACCATGGGAGACTACTGCACACCACTGGAGACTGCTGTGCACGACTGGAGACTGCCATAGACTTGGTGAACACTGTACACTTAGGCCACACTACATTTATTAAAAGATACCTTTCTTCAGTAACACTTAGCTTAAAACACAAACACATTGTACAGCTGTACAAAAGTATTTTTTATACTCTTATTCTGTGAGCTTTTTTTTGTACCTTTTAAACTTTTTTGTTAACTAAGACACGAACACACACATTAGCCTAGGCCTGCACAGGACCAGGATCTTCAGTATCACTGTTGTCCGCCTCCATACATTGTCCCATTGGAGATGCAGTAACAGGAAGTACAGTAAAGACATGAACCGGTAACATAGTCCTGTATTAGCATCGTCGGTTGTGTGTGCTAGACCTTGCTGTGACTGGCCGCACAGTAGGTTCGTTTACACGAGCATGACCACAAACACATGAGAAATGCATTCCGCTGCGTTATGATGGGTGCAGCATCATTAGGTGATGGGAAATTTTCAGCTCCACTATATATAATCCTAGGGGGCCATTGTCATCTACGCAGTCAGTTGACCAAAACGTCATTATGCAGCCCATGACTATTTTAAATTGGCTTGCATGTCCCATCTACCCTTAGTGGATAGTCCCAATTTGAGTGCCAATTCCTGGAAGAGCTCAAGCTACAGAGGGCCCTGTGCCTGGCACTGGAGTCTTGCAATAAGTGTGGTCTGGCCATGCTTGGCTGTCATGGATGGAACATTTTTATGGATCATCTCACACTGAATCTTTACAGCTCCTTGGGCCTCATTTTACAAATGAGACCTAGGAGATTAAGTAGCCCTCCAAGGGTACGTATGTGGGAGGGAGATGGTGAAGTCTCAGATGTGTAATATATATGTAAAATATTATATCCATGACACCCTACAGAGGTTAGAACCATATTGCGTTTGTTGGAGGATCTCCCCGTTGGAGAATATCTAAGGATATGTTATCTTTAGAAACTTTTTCTTTTAGAGACAGAATCATGCTGTGTTGCCCAGGCTAGTCCCAAACTCCTGGCCTCAAGCCGTCCTCTCACTTTGGCCTCCCAAAGTGTTGGGATCACAGGTGTGAACCACTATGCCTGGCCAGAAACTACTATTTTTTTTTTTTTCTTGAGGCATCTCACCCTGTTGCCTGGGCTAGAGTGCAGTGGCACGCTCTCGTCTCACTGCAGCCTCCACCTCCCGGGTTCAAACGATTCTCCTGCCTCAGCCTCCCAAGTAGCTGGGATTACAGGCGAGCACCACCATGCCTGACTAATTTTTGTATTTTTAGTAGAGATGGGGTTTCACCGTGTTGGCCAGGCTGGCCTGGAACTCCTGACCTCAAGTGATCCACCCACCTCAGCCTCCCAAAGTGCTGGGATTACAGGCATGAACCACCATGACTGGCCCAGAAACTACTTTTTTATTTTTTTTCTTTTTTTGAGACAGAGTCTCGCTCTCTGCCTGGGCTGGAGTGCAGTGGCGCGATCTCAGCTCACTGCAAACTCCACCTCCTGGGTTCACGCCATTCTCCTGCCTTAGCCTCCTGAGTAGCTGAGACTACAGGCACCCGCCACCACGCCTGGCTAATTTTTTTGTATTTTTAGTAAAGATGGGGTTTCACTGTGTTAGCCAGGATGGTCTCAATCTCCTGACCTCGTGATCTGCCAGCCAGCCTTGACCTCCCAAAGTGCTGGGATTACAGGCATGAGCCACCGCGCCTTGCCCAGAAACTACTTTTAACTCGTTTTTAGTAGCTAAAACATGGAAGCTTCACTCCGAAAAAGGCATTCTTGTTCAGTTAAAAGAGCCAAAATAATTATCTTTTATACGAAAAATATTTATAGTTTTTTAAACAAATTGCGTGTATTATCACCAAAT